AAACTGGGAAGCATATTGCTTAGGGGCAGAATGAAAGCTGTTTTCTAGTTTGAGCCACACAATTGTGAATATCTTCTCAGATACAAACTATTTACATTTCCACATTCCACAACACAATGTGAATATGGGACCTGATAGGAAATAACACTGTGACTGAAGGGTAACCAGATTAAAATATCAGGAAACACTGAAGTTCCAGAAGTGTGCATATCAGAGTCCACTAGTAAGGAAAGAAATATCCTTTCATGGAAATCTTTGGTTTAAAATACCTAATGCGTAGTGTCTAGCTACTCAAAAACATTAAACTAGGACTTATGTTTTGTCAGGAAATATTACAGCTGTGTTGCTCATAGGTCAAAATAGAAACCATATGGAAATATTTTTAGCATAAGACTAATTTTAAAACAAGTAAGCCATTTTCAGAAAGCACTTAGAGTGAATATTTCTCTTTACAAAGTTGTTTTTAAAATTGCTTTTCCTTATGTGACTTGAGTTGATTGAATGCTCCAAAACAATCTATTTGAATGACTAATAAACTCAATTTCCTGAGATCTACTGAGGATGTATTTTAGCCTACAGTTTTGCTAAAGACTGTTGGGAGCCTGGCTTGATTCAAATTCTTCTGCAAACCCATGACATTCATATGAAGTCAGCCTGCAGAAGATCATGTACATTCTATATAGACATTTACATTCACATTAATTTAAATGGAATTTTACATCTGAAAGATGAGTGTGACAGCTAATACCTGAGAAACAGTATTTTTGTGTTAGTGTTAACACTGAAGAAAAGTTGATCAATGATGTGTGAACATAGAATTTGTTTGTTAGAAAAAATAAGAAAATATATTCTACGAAAGCAACTAGTGGGTGCTTTCTCTTTTAATAACTATTAAATATTTTTCAACAGAGAGAAAACTACCCAGATGAGAATTTAGCTAGATATGTAACTTGATTTTATATCTATAAGACATATTTTTCCCTCTTACATTTAGCTAGGAATCATGGTATTGGTCATTGTGCTATAAAGTAAGGACAGAGGTACTTTAGGAAGGTATGTCAAAATAAAATATCAATGTTCCAGCAAAACCTTGGGAACCCTGGGAGGGTACATTAAGTGATATCCTCTTGTTCACTGTAATTTTATTTAATAAAAACAATGAAGCAAAAAAGACACTGCATATAAAGTATGTAAACGAATTGTACTATTATATTATGAGTGAGGAAATAATTCAAAAGTTATTTAGTCACTAAAAGTAATAATGTAAAACAGTACCAATTTACCAAACAGGAAATGAAATTACTAAAAACAAATTCGTGTCACAGCAACCTCAGCTTCTCTGGGTTCAAGTGATTCTCCTGCCTCAGCCTCCCGAGTAACAAGGACTACAGATGTGCACACCACACCTGGCTGATTTTTGTATTTTTAGTAGAGACAAGGTTTCGTCATGTGGGTCAGGCTGGTCTCGAACTCTTGACTTCAGGTGATCCACCCACCCTTGGCCTCCCAAAGTGTTGGGATTACAGGCATAAGCCACTGCACAGGGCCAAAAATTGCTCCATTCTTTATTTAAAAAAAATACAAAATGATAATTTGAAAAATGCAGACCATTTGGGGCTTCTGAAAAAATACCAACAAAAAAGTGGCAACACACCAATTTTATCCTTTCATGTATTTTCTTAAACTTGTTACTTGTATATTTGATTTGTTCCCATTACTCTTTTACTATTTTGCAAGATTCTTTTTAAACTATGAATCTACCTGTATATTTTTTTCTTCTGTTTCACTGAATATGGTGTCAGAAGGATGACAATACATTAAAACAATACCTAACAGTATTGGAATTTTTTGACTGGTGGTTTCATTTTTAGAGCTTTTAAAAAAATCCAAAATTCAATAGGCTTTTAAAGTTCATAAGGAATCACAATTTTTAGAGGGGAAAATGTTTAAGTAATGAAGTCTGACCGTATGAAAACTATCTAATTGATCCTCATTGGGTTCAGGAATCTTGTTTTACAAATCACTTAAACTTTCTATTTGTAACTGCAGTACTTGGAAGAGCCTTCACATTTTAACATTATGATTGTACCCACCCTAAAATCTGTGTCTTGGATGTTTTAATAGTATTTGAGAGTCAACAAACTCCAATAATCAACAGAGGACATGAAACATCTTATTTTGCTGAACTGTATTAACTACGGGGTTTCAGAGAGGTAAGTCAAAGGAGATGTAAAACAGTTTCCTAAAGAATAATTCTTTGGGGAGTTTGCCCTTGCTTTTATATAACATAAATTATTTTTGTTTCATCAGTGCTCACACTTCCTTATTTTTATTTAGAGTTCTAGCAGCAAGTACACACATTATGTCAAAATGCTATATTGCATGCGTCAATGTGTTAGTTTCAATAAAATCCGTAAATGAAGTTTCCTTTCGCACATACCACCTGTATGAATTTCCATTCTATTTAAAAAGTGGCAAGCCTCTCTAGAGCTACTTTTATTATCCTTGGCCACAGTTTAGAACTCGATATCTTAACACTTTAAATGGGTGTATGTAGCTGTATGAGGAGGAAGATGGAGAGGGAAGTTATTTCTACAGAATTCAAAATCAGTTTAGCACATATATCTAATTCACAGTAACTAAAAAAAGCACACCATTCCTTTCACCAGTGGTCAGAAGTTGGGCCTTGTTGCTCTTTGGAATAAAATGCTTAGGAAGTAGTGAAGTAGTCTACATTTATAATGGTTATAAAATAAAAGTGAATAGGACAAAACATACAAGTCTTATTAAATTATGAAAATTATCTGCAATTTTTATGTTTAAAATATCTGTAAAAACCCATGTGTATTCACTGCTAGTCATATATAATGCTATCTGGATTCTAACTAGTTGAAAATGCACTGTTACAGTCCCTCCTTTTATTTCATGCATTGGTTTTGGTATTGGATTGAGAAATATAAACCAAAATCTAGGAAACAAAGATATTAATTCAGAGTAATCTTAAATTTTCTCATTATTTTTCCATAGTCAGGAAGTACTTACTTCAGAGTATTTCTTTCTAAAGTTTAATCTGCTATCACTGGAGAGAGAGAGAGAGAGAGAGAGAGAGAGAGAGAGAGAGAGAGTGTGTGTGTGTAAGATGGAAAAGTTATCTTTTTAAGATATTTTTTAGAATAAGATGATACCCAAACAGACAGAAACAGACATGTTCTTAACACAATGCACTATAAAGTTACACTTTCTTAATTTTTTTAACAGTCAAATTGTAATTACTAGGGATATCTGTAACTTAAAACAGACAGACACCCAGACAAAAACAGACATATTCTTAACACAATACACTGTAAAAGTTACTCTTTCTTAAGATTGTTTTTTTTAACAGTCAAATTGTAATTAGCAGGGATATCTGTAACTTAAAAAAAATAGTTGCTTATCCTCCAAATGCATGTATTTTTATCTTATTTTGCCGAAACTTCCTGTCAAACACCAAGAGAATGTGTGTGGAATAACCATGATCTAATTATAAGAACATAATTTAATTGTGTGCAGAATAATACAATACAGAAAACTATCTGGATATCTAAACAGGAAATGGTAAATCCTTGCAGGAAATATCTCAGGAACAAAACAAAAACACCTTAGTCCAGCTCTTATTACAGTACACGAAACTATTTTTAAGTCTGGGCCTGGAAACCTTTTTTTTTTTTTTTTTTCAGGACTTGTAACCACTGTATTTAATTGGCCCCCTGAACTTGCCCTTCCTTCTCAAGTCCACTGCTTCTGTCCTACATCCTTATTATCATATGAATAAATTAATCAAAAGCCTAATTGGTTTTTATGCTTCTAGCAGTTTCTTGTCCTTGTAAAATGTCTGCAGTTACAAGATTTGTTCTTAAATTCAGACATCTAACCGTGCTTCATACAGCATAAACTCAGTTCCCTTGTCAATCACATCCCAAGTTACTTTTCCAACTTCGTATTCCAGGTTCCACAACAGATTCCATTATTCCATACTTTTACTGTGCACTTCATCATTTCCTTGCCCTGGCACCCTCTCATAATGCAACAGCACTTCCTTCCCTTTGGTTTTCTTATTCTCTTTCTTTTGTCCCCTGGCGATTGCTATTCTGTTTTTAAAGTCCAGTTCAAATGTTTGGTCCACTTTCCAAGTTTCTTTGGGATCCTAAGGGACAAATTATACACCCCTGACAATATATTTCTCGATTATGCCACTAGTGAATTGTATATGCCTCTGTTTCTACCATAAAGCCTATGCATTTTTTTAAAGGTAGTGATCAGCTCTTTATTTTTGTAGCTACAGTATCTGACACTCAGTACACTTCCAGTAAAAATACATAATCGCTCATCTTTGATTTATCTACTTTATACACTTACATGTGTGCATGAGTTAATTTAATCTTTTGGTCATTTTCTACTTTTAAGCAAGTGTTTGTATCTTATTTTTTTTCCCTAGCTTGTGTTAATAAAAGGGAACTACTGGCTTAATTCATTAAAAGTGTCCGTGACTTTGGGGGGAAGCATTAAGACATTTTTATCTCAGCCGGACTCCTCTCTCACTGTAGGCCTCTTGGCTACAGATGGGACTTAATTGCTTCTTAAATATATCTAACATTTATGCTTACACAATATTGCCCACTAGCCATTCAGCACTTCTGTTGTAGTTCTTTACCCAAAACTCATTAATTTTACTATGAACTCTTATTACTTTTTAGTGCAAAAATATAAAAATTAGTAGTCTGGTCATGAGCAGACATAAATAGGTGCCAAGTTCAACCATTTGCTTTTTCAAAAAAGAGAACGAGTTAAAATCACATTGTACATAAACAACCTTCAAGTTTGTAAATAGAGTAACCATTATAAAATAGTGGAAACATATATCCATTTGGAGATTTTACTGAAGTTTTTCCTGTCCAGGGAAAATGTTTAGTTATATGTGATCCACTGTGTCAAGGACAGACTGGTCCTTTCCAGTCACTTACCCTCTGACAGCATGAATAAGTCTCAATGATGGATAGGCAGTTCGCACTTTCAGTTTATTCTTAAGGATTAATGCATTAACCCACTCCACGTGCTTCTCTCCTCCTTTAACCATGAAAGCAGGAATCCAAAGGACACTGTCATTCAGCATGGAAAGTCTATGCACAAATTTCTCTCTGTCACTCTCATTTCGAAAGCCTCCAAATGCTCTTTGTACAACTGATGGATTCATGGTAATAAAATCTGATTTAGTTCCCACATCTGCAGCAAACTCCACCACAGGAGCTAGATTGCACCTAAAGAGGAAAAAATTAATGGGACAAATGAAAAAAAAAAAAAAAAGAAATATTCACTAGTAAAATGGTGTTCTTGAAAAGAAGAATGGGAAATGAGCATTTTTTTTTTTAACTAGATGAAAAGAAAACCAAAAGGTCATCTACTTGGTAAGATTACATTTTCAAATGGTCTCCACATGTGCAGGAATAGGGCTTGCAACAAAAATGTACACTCCCAGTACAGGGCTCAAAATGCCACTTATATGAATTCATCCTGTTGTGTAAGAATACCCTTTGCGTAAGAATACCCTTACTATCTATTATCATAAAACCACACAATATGAATTTGTAATCAGCGAATTTATGATAGTTAATTCACAAGGGTTCTTTTTGCCATTCAGTAGGCAATTTAAACCACATGCTGCCCTATAAGTAAGTAAAACACATTGGACTGGACATTCTAATCCGCACCACTTGTAAAGATTAAGTCATTTCAACAACTTTGTAAGTGTAAGGAAATAAAGTTGGCTTTACTTATACTCTGAGGTTAGGGGAAAAGTGCATTTCCTTATAGTGTTTTACACAAATATATTTACAATTGCTTTCTATAGGTCTGAAAGGAGAAGAAAAAGAAAAGTGGAGATATCATATTTAATATGACTTTCTGAGATTTTAAGTGATACTGAAAAGCACTTACTAGAAGATCAAATGTCACCCTTTCTGTTTATTTTGAGGACATACTCAAAATATCTGTTTTCCCTTTTCAGACATATGCATCCCTGGAGAATTGTATATGTAGAGAAGGAACAGAATATGTTGTCCTGTTTTCTCCACTGGAGTCATAAGGTCTTGAAAAGAACTGGGGCCTGATTTTATTCATCTAACCTGATTCCATTCTTATAGTAGAAGAAAGCTTTGGAAAGCACCTTGAATTTGGTCTTGAACCAATTTCTGATGCTTCTTTGATTCTATCACATAGACCTTTTAAAACTTGATTTAAAAAATAGCCTTTTTCTTTTTTTTTTTTTTTTTTAAAGAAACTACTTTAACTTGCTTTTAAAAAGGTAGGTTTTAATCAGTTGATAAAAGAAAAATTAGATTTTGATAAACAAGAGTTTACTGTATTGGAAAAAGTTGTTTGAAGCTATTCAATCTAACCCTTGATGAAAATATGAAACTATTTTTAATACTTTCATCAACATTTCAAGGGAAGGGAAGATACATAGATTTTCTTTTTCTGCATTTTTGCATGTTTGGCTACTTTATGAAAGTTCCCTAGATTTCTCTTTGTTGTGTATTTTGTCACATTAAATTATTAAACAAGTTACATTTTAATTAAAAAGTAAAGTGTGTTCTGATGTTAAAAATACTGTACTATATATCATTCCTTATCTTTCTTAATTAATATATCTTATTACTTCCTAGATCTCTGACAATATTTAGCTATAACAACAAATATACTTCATCTCAAACTCTATGTTATCTAGGGTGAGCTACTGAGTGAAAAATATTAACATAATAATATTATTTAGAAAGTGTAGATTAAGGATTATCATCTTTTCAATTTAGGTATCTTTAATTATACCCACTATGTTATATGACAGAGTATTTTATTTGTTTCTACTCATGATTCATAGCATTAATTATGATTAGATATTATTCATTGTGATTACGGTAAGAATATTACAAACAGGACAACCCAGAAAAAGATTTGTAAAGGTGAACATCTTCTTGTGGAACTCATGACAGATCAAGACATTGATCGTTTTAAAATGTGCTCTATACAAATATTAAAAGTAATCTAAAATCCTAAGGTAGCTAATTGTAACTTGAATATGGATACTGTGAGGAAAAGTGTCTTCTGGACATCATTATTACTAACGTTTCTTTCAGAAAAGTAGAGAGAACACCTGTACCATTGTAGTTAACATGTTCCTCTTGGGGCAACGGCTTCGGATATATTTTTCCGTTACAACAAATCCTCAGTAATTTCTTTTTAGATAATTCCCATTGTAGAAAAACAAGGTTTATACTTTATTTTCACTATAAAAACCAACCCAATAAAAGGGAATCAAAATGATACATTCTGCTGAATTATCCCTTCAGGAAAAAATATCACTCAATTACTCTACACTGTTTCTTGCCACATATTTAAACGCCCCTCCCCATATCCGTATTTGCCAATACCCACTCTCGATTTTCTGGCCATGAATCTCTCAAGTGGTGGTATGATGCTCATCAATTAAAGCTGAAGGTGGAAAGATGAATACTTTTCACTTTGACAGTAAAAGGAAGCTAATGGAATAAGAATATTTCTGGAGAATAGGATTGAGCTAGGAAACAAACCAACATATTTTATTTAATTAATGAAGGCTAAATGATTATGGTGCTAACTAAAAGAGTAACTGGAGATCACAGAGTAACAAATCCACATGCAGAGCCCAATCAGACTTTGTCAGGGATAGTAACTTAGATACTGAAAATAGCAAGACAGAAGACGCTTCATAAAATATAACCCTTTCTGGCTTTAGGAGTCCAGCTTGTTCATTTTCCTGGGGAAGACTACATGTACTATTTCCCTGGAAAGAATAGTAATATCATGTCCACATGTTGCTGGTAAATTAATGACTCTGTGGTTGAGTCAGATTTTTAGTCATATAATTAGCTGAATGCCACATCTTTAAAAGAAAGTGTTAAAAAATAAAAAATAACCAATAAGCTATGTTGCACTCCTGCAATTCAGTAGACTTTGTTGTGAGGATCTGAACATTACTAGCAGCAAAACTGCTGACTGAAAAAGATTATGAAAATATTTGCAATCACAAAGTTTCATCTTTTTCAAAAAAAATTTCTTAGAGATTATAATATTCAAAATTAGCCAGAATGTGTCTCAAGTAATTATGAGTAATACATGATACTTGTGTTATTCTTAATCTCATAAAATAGAGGAATGATCAGTTTTAAATTTGTGGATTTTTTTGTGAGTCAAAACTGCTGAGTGCATGTAAATATTTAGTAGAGTCAAACAATATTATCTTTGGCCAAATTAAATTTTTTTTGCACATTTTACTTTTGACATGTTGAAAACATATTCCCTGAATTAGCTGTATTAACAGAATTCTTTATTTACTCTAAACTTTCCAGTTCTCAACTTATTTGTGTCTATTCTACAATCTTGATTGAACACCTATAGGATTGCAGCTAGCTCCACTGTATTCTAGGCCTCTGAATTTTCTTCAATAATTTCACAGTGCATATGATAGCTTCTTATCCCTGTATGCAGAATTGAAGGTACTTTCAGGTTAATTTAAAACCTATATAAGATGCTTAATTTAGAATTTGAAAGGAATAAATGTTTATTTCATGTACGAGCACTTCGGGATTACAGAATTTCCTAGCAAAAAGTATCTCTTGGGTTGGCCATTATTTTCTGCATTCCCCTTAAATTAGAGTTCAACAATATATGCAACTAGGAGATCCCACTTTCATTTACTCAACAGGCATTTATTGAGAGTTTGTTTTGTAAACACTACTCTAGAAGTTCAGAATTTTTTTCCAGCTATTTAACTACTTGTGTTATTTAATAATGATATAATCTGTCCAAAATGTATTTTGACAGATATTATAAGTAATATCAATAAGTTAATTCTCATTCACTTAGCTAAATATTTTTTAATTCTATGACGTATATGTCTGTGCTAGATATAGAACTCATCATCCAAGATACTGAAGTAAATCATGGTTTTCTGTGACAATTGGAGGTTGTCACTTACATCCTTTCACACACAGCAGATTAAATAAGAATAAAACAATTGTAGGTATGTTATACACCAAATTTTTCCTGCCTTTGTTGATATTCAGACAAATTCCAAATACATAATTATCATCCTTTTTCTTCTTTAGCCAATCCCACTGCGTTGCTTCCTCAGCCAAAACATTATTACCTATGGAAACACCTTTGTCAATCCACTGTGAAATAGGAGTGAATGTCTTCTCTTTTCTGCCCCTAGAGGAAGCTTGTTGATCCTGTCTGTTCCCATCTTGCTTCTCAGCTTGAGGAGCAAATGGAACAGCTACAAAAATCTGTTAGCTGTCTTTTTTTAGACTTTGTGATTACTTTCTCAACATTTCTAGGGAAAGCTGGCATGTGCAGCCTGTCAGTCTCTTTGCCTTTCCTGTCATGAAGGTTGTGGGCACCACATAGACCTGAAAGCAATCATTTTGCTTTGAGGTAAAAAGTAGTATTAACTCCACTTTCAGGTGAGAAACCAAGGTTAAAGCGGTTAAGAAACATGTCCAAGGGCATACAGACTGCAAAGAAAAAGCACCATCTAGTTTGGAATAATTCCAGGACAGGAGTTTTAACTGACACTATTTATACATATGATTTGATTCAGAAATATGATGTCTATAAACTCATCCTTCACACAAACCTTCCTGTAGAAGAAAGAGTGTTTTATCATTGAACCCTAACTTTTCATCTCAGATTCCTAAGACTCAGGTATATTATTCAAGGCCATTCAGCCGTGATGTTTCCAAAACTTTGAGCAGTTATTAAACAAAAGGTTTTAAATATCTAAAACATAAACACAATATCTATACCTCAAATCTCTCGATAGACAGGATTTCAAAATGCTAGTAGAAAGTATTAAATAACTAACTTATAAGACTTTTGAAATATTAACTATAGGATTAAAAGTTGACATATGTGGTATACCATAATGTAGTAAACAAAATATAATAAAGTGGAAATATCATTGAATATTTGCATGTTCAGTATGCTGAATAGGCAAACAAAAATACGCACATATACACACACACCACATTTTATGCTTGCTGTCAAAATACCAATTGATGAAATCTTCAACTACATAGAAATACAAACAACACACATCACAAAAATAATGAAGTGACTAAACAGAAGAGGAAATTTTTCCCAAACCCGGATTTGTTTACATTAGTGGCAAGGGGGAAGAATAGTGTCATACTCTCCAGAGAAATTCACAGAATGAAAATATAAT